GCCACGGACAACACAAGAAAACCCATAGAATCAACTAACCCGGGCTCATGAGGGCTTACAGAACTGCCAACCAGAAAACTTGCATGGGACTGACCTAGGCCCTCTGCTATATGCTACAGTTGTGTAGCTTGGTCTTCTTGTGGGACTCCTAATTGGGATCAGGGGCTGTTACCTTCTTTGGGGACCCTTTCCTCTTACTGAGTTACCCCATCCAGCCTCAGTACGAGCGAAGGTGCCTAGTCTCACTGCAACTTGATATACCATAGCCAGCTAACATATATGGGAGGCCTGCACTTTTCTGAAGGGAAAGGAGAAGGAGTGAATGGATCAGGGACACTGAGAGGAGAGAAGGCTGGGGAAACTGTTGGGCCTGAGAAAAACACGAATGAATGAATGAATTAATTAATCAATAAGAAATGAAAAGTAAAGAAATTCAATATTGTATCTTAGAGACATTGTGTTGTGTGTGTGGCTGGGGAATAGGGTAGGAAGGACCAGACAAGAAGGGCTATGGGTGTCCCTCTATTCCTAAACTATTTCACTGATAGGTAATTTCTGATCAAGTGAAAAAGCAGAGGCAACTCTGGGTCTGAATCCCAGCACTGTTCTCTATTAGTTCTGTGTCTGGGGAAAGGCAACCATTCTCCCTGTGTTTGGTGTCGTCTTTCATAAAATTCATAGAATAAAAAATACAAAAACCGTCGGAAGGAGTAAGATGAAGTTTTCATAGCACAGACCAAGATGCTTTAGCATACAGCATGCGTTGACTAAATATCATTTCCTTTTCTAACAGAAATAAATATATGTATGTATAAGCATGTATATACTAATATATACATCTCTACACCCATATGTACATATCTATACATGTATCTGTCTATGTACATACACACACACACACACCAGCTCCTCCATATAAACAGTTCTGCACATGCAGGTATGAAAATAATAACCTGAGAAGGAATCTGGAAGGTGGCAGCACTCCCTGCTTGTGGTGGCCCTAAGAACTATCTACTGTTCTTCCTCTTTGTTTCCAGCAGAAACCTGCAGTGGTTTTTATTAGCTGTCCAGAGATAGTTATCAAACACTTGAGGTATTTATATTTATACTAATTCAGTCCACACAGACAACTAACCTAAAGGGCATTTTCAACAAATGCATTTAGTTCCTGAGACAACATAAGCTGTAGGGTGGATCTACAGGGTGCCTTCTCACACTACTTAAGAAAGGCAGAACTGAAACAGCCTGATCAAACTGGCACAGTTCTCAGCTAACTAGATCCTGAGGTGACAGCGCAGATGAAGCGTACTGCACAGACAGAGCTGGAAAGGAACTGAGTCAAAAGTTACCAGGAACCAGCCCAATTTCATGGCATCATGATCAGAGAACCCTAACCAACAATAACCGTAAAATATGGAGTGAAACGCCCATGGTAATCTTTACCATTTCAGTCCCACCACTAATTACCTGGGAAAATATTTAAATAACTCTTATTTTCTAGTTCTTAAAGCACTAACACCCACCTCACTACCTAGTCAAAAACATCTCCTCTGTGTACTTTTGCCAAAGTCCAAAGTCCTCTGGTCTAACCACAAGAAATCCCTAGAAGAACTCACATTAAGCCACCCTACAAAATACCTGCTTGGTACTCTTCAATAGTGTAAAGGCAATACTTTCAATAGTGAGAACCAGAAAATAATCTGTGTTGGAGAACACACAGCAGTGAAATGTGGGACCCTGCATTCCATTTGGGATGAAGCAATCGGAGTACTGGGAAAACTGGCAAAATCAGAATTTGGTTTATTCCTAAGGCACTGTACAGATATTAAATTTCAGTTTTGATACTTAGGAGTGTATAGTACAAAGTCTATTACAGGCTAGACAGGGACTAATTTTGCAACTTTGGAAATCTTAAGTTCTTTTAAAAGTTTTATCATGCAACCAGAAAGTGGCTCTTTCTTTTTGTAACATGTTTCTTTCATCTAATGGCTACATTTTGACCACCAGCAAGAAAAAGAATAGGGCAGTGTTGGCCAAAGTAGGATGAAGAGAGCTAAAAATGAAATGAGAACTTTTTATATGTGAACCAAATGATTATAAATAGTCTTGTATAACTCTTCTAACCAAGAATATTTCATTGTTTTCAAAACACAATCATGAATGAGTGCTTAAAGAAGGGCAGATTCTGTGTTTGGTCAATGATGACAGGCTTAAATGTACCTAATGCCATCAGCCTTTAAACATCACGTCAGAATTTCATTTCTCTGACTTCGTGATTACTCTCATCTCATCAGATTTCAACAGTTTTCTGTCAAGCAACACCTGGCAAAATAAACCATTTCCACATAAATTGGAGACATCCACAATGAATATGGTATGATGTGCTCTTATTCGTATTTTCTTTCCCCACTCCCCTCTTTACGATACCAGAGACTAAACCCAGAACTCTCCCATACTAGGCAACACCTCTAGCCCCTTTCCTGCTATTTTGTGTTTGAGTTTACACGTAGTCTTGAGGAGTAAACACGATGCACTTCTCACCAATGCCACATTTCTTATCCAAGATATTGTTAAGGAACATTAAAAAGGAATTAGGATTCACAGTACATTCGGCTACAGTTTCTAACAAAGCACACTATGGCTCATTTATGTCTGTTCCCACCTTAGGGGGCAAGTGCACAGCCTAAACCAATAAACAAGTAACTTAACCATTTCTTGGTTTGATAAAACCACCTATATGGTAAATATGCATTTTTCTATTACAATAGGCTCTTACAAAATATTTTTTTGTTTTCTACAAAGGTTATGAGATGTCATAAAAATGTCCAGTGCATCTGGTTTGAGAATCCAATTCTTCCTTCACATATTTCTGCATCTGCTCACAAAATCCCTTAGACTTCAAAGAAAGCTTTTCAATAGAGAAAGAAGACACACAGAGGAAAAGTGGCCATAAATTTTTAGGAGTCCTTTCCCAGGGCCACTTTAATAATGGCCATATAGGACAGGTATCTCTTTCAGAAACCTACAGTGCCTAAACAGCATCAGCAACTACAAGTTTGTATGGAGATTTATGATTTCAAATTTTTCTGGTTATAAAAGTGATATATCTGCAATTTGAAATACATGAGACAAACACTTGAAGCCCACTTGAATGACTTTGAATCGCTATTTAGGATGAACGAAACACAACAAAAATGTTAAAGGTTGTTTCCTTCCAGTCTTTCTTCCTGTGTGTGAAACATGTATGAACACTATTGAAATCATATTCTGAATGCAATGTTTAATCTTTTCCATCAGTCTTTCAAGAGGACTTCACTGGTGTTTTTGTATCTAGGTCAGCATGTGTACTGGGGAAGCACCCCGCCACTTAGCTATATTCCCAGCCATCTTCTTACTTTTCCAGACAAAGAATCTCACTTAATCACCCAGACTGACCTGGAACTTACTTTGTGGTCCAGTCTGGTCTTGAACTTGTGATCATCTAGCCTCCACTTTTGCCTCCCGAATATCGGGGATTACACGCCTCTGCCATCAGGCACAGCTTGCCTTAGTCTTTCACGCCATCATTTTAAAGTGTATGCATTATGATACTGCAGAAACAGTACTTTAACATCTAATTCTCTTTATTTAAAGCAAAAGTACGAGTTTTAAAAAATAGTAATCTGTCCTAGAAATTCTTGGTTGCATACAATTTAATTTGCCTATCAAATTTCTATTCCGAAAAACCAAATTCCCAAACCTCAAGGAAAACAGCATCTGATGATTAAAGCTGGAATCAATTCTTACCTAACACTGTTTGTGAAAACTTAAAGTAACATTTGAATAGTTGCTGAGTCTCCAATATGTTGTGCTTTTCATTCTTACAGAATCTTGTGAGGTTTACATTAAGGAAGCAAACAGAAGTTCAGAGAATGAGTAACTTGTGGGATGATTAGAAACACACCTTACATGCTGGCTTTCATCTGCTCTCACTGGCTATACTTTATCTTCATAGTCATGAACCAACAGGCTTGAAAACATTAACATGCCAATCAATTCAACTCTTCCTCTATCCCATCTGCTAAAGAAAATTAGCCCAGGGGATTGAGACTCGATCTATAACCCAGCTAGTAAACGCCAGAAAAAGCAGGGAACTTCTAGGATATTTTCCTAACTTCTAAGCTGGCTTTCTTTTCAATGCACCAGTTATATGACATCCTTGTGTGACATCTGTGCATTAATGGCGATGAAGATGCAGGGTGTCAGAATTCACAAAGAAACTCAAATTTCCTTCCCTCTCCCAGACCCTACTGCTGTGACAATCTAAGTCAATAAGTAAGCCATATGCAGGGATGCTTGGTGCTTGTCTGAACGAGTGAAAGCACATCTCCTGCCACCATTTGGCTTTGAGGGTAAAATGCAAATATGGAGGGTCTCAACACAAAGTATCAAGCTCAGCAGCAGTCGTGGTGACCACAGTGCTGTCAGGCAAACAACAGTGTGAAGCATCCTGGCAACTTGCTGCTGTTGGTTACAGGACCTGGTAGATACAGGTCTAAGGATCAGGAGAGAATCAGAGTGGTGCACCAGTACTTGCTCACTTCCCACGCTGCTAGCTACCGCACCAACCTAAACAGACCTTTCTCATTTCTCCGCTGCACCCGGAGTAGCTGTTAGGGAAAAGGGAGGATTAGAACTTGACAGAGCAGTGCTTACAACGACCTCAGAGCAACTAGGTCCCTGATAACGTCACGCTCGTCCGAGAGATGGCTTCCTGCGTTGCCTGGCAACGGTGGCCACGTGGCCGTGCGGCGCGGGCCTTCCAGCCGCAGCGCCTTATTCTGTCACGTGTGTTTGCGACGTTTCCCCACGTCGGGGACTTTCACAGGCTAGTGGCCCTCGGAAAGTGCAGAGGATTCTTTACAGGAAGCAAGGAGGGAGCAATGAGTGGTGGGAGGGAAGAGGAGCGCGAAGGCGCTCGCACGACCGGAAGCCTACTGCGGCCGGCCGGCTCGGGTTACCTGGGGAGCAGGAGTAGCTGCGGGTCCTTTGTGAAGTGCCCGGATGAAGCTCCAGCACTCACGCGCCTTCCGCACGGAGTACAGCGCCATCTTGGGAAGGGCGGGGCCGCCTGGCCCGGAATGACGTCTGCGGGCAAGCCGGAGTTGTGCTCATTGCGCATGCGCCCGTGGTCAAGGTGGCTGCTGGCGGTTCTAGCTGCCAGGGATGTTTCCTGCAAACCAGGTGCGGCCTAGGATGGGGCAGCACTAAGCTTTAGTGTTTTCTCTGCAGTCTCCCTTTTAGTGCCAGCTACTTGAGGGAGACTCTCTCCCCTCTGAAATAAGTTGTTGTGCTTTAGACATGGAAGTAAAGGAAATAACCCACCCTAAAACAGAGCCATAAAACAGATCCAAGGCTCCTGGGAACCACAGATTTCCTTGGAGACAAAGGTGGCAAAAATTGGCAGTCTTCCACGCGGCCGGCTCGAAAAGCAATCGCTGACTCTGGCAAAGCTATTCCCCTCTCCCCCTTTCTACTACAAAAACTTGTCAGACCCTGTATGGCTTGCTCTCCTGTACTCAAGGATAGTGAATGGAAGGGCACTGACTCTAAAACAACTAAAAATCTGTTCTCATGGTTTTGAGATCGAACTGAGTCTATTTTATTTTCCTCCCTTGACTTACTTCTTACAGGGAAAAAAAAAAAAAAAAAAAAAAAAAAAGCCAAGTAGGTTGTTTTTCTGACCTAGCTACCAGATGCAGCTTTCTATCTGTCTCTTAAGAATGAAGCCTGCTTGCCCTGGAGGACCACACGTGGCTTTTAAATACTTATGTGGTGGCCATAGTGTCTCCAACTTTATTCTAGTGCCCTAAGAAAAGCACTCATGGTACACGGATGTGTGTGTGTATCTTGCCTTTAGAAGTACAGGGTACTGAGTAGCACACGGTGCACACAGTTGAGGTGGTGTAGAAGCAAGTATCACGTTCAGATTGGATGACGCAATGCTTCTTGGTGGTTCAGTAACAGCTGAATGAAACTGATCATTCACGGTGGAAGAAAGTGTTCTGTGTTAAAACAGTTGACGTCTGTCAGTGGACCTGAAAACTCTCAAATTAAGAATCAGTAAAAATACAACTGGAGCAGATTTGGCACAAACCCTTTGTATTTCTTATATTAGTCTAAGAAACATATACTGGAAATTAAGAACGGGCCTTGGAAAGTTATGTTGTATATGAGGTGCCTATACTCCTGAGGAGTTGAAATCTAAGGATAAGATGAAAGAAACTCAAATTATATAATAAAATCTCCTAAGTGTGCAATTGACCCTGAAGTTCATGTCCAGTTGTTGTAATTGGAAGTAAGCAGGGAAGGAATTACAGGTATGAGGTCATAGTTCATCCCTTAACAAAACATATCAATGTGATTTTAGTTTCAGTTAAATTCAAGATGCACGTACTTCCAAGTGCAAAGAACTTTAACTACATACCTAAGTGTGTACCTTAAGAGAGACATAAGCTATAAAACATGGTAATAGGAGTGAGAGAGAGAGAGAAACAGCCAACAACAAGAAGCAAGCAAACCAACCAACCAACCAACCAACCAACAAAAAAACCCCAATATAACCAGATGAATTTAGAATAAAAAAAAAAAAGTGGTCAAGAAATGGAAATAAAGTGGCTAGGAATTAACAGAAACCCAAAGCATATGGTATAGCTGAAGCCTAGGACAAAGCCCATCAGCCCACCATGAGAAGACAAGCAATATCCACAGCAATATGGGGTTTTATAAATACCTTAGGTGTTTAGTCTTTACACAGGAAGCAAATTATTGCGATTTGTATAGCTATATAATTAATTAGATCATAACCTTAGGAATTAGCATTAGAATTCTGGCATTCTTAACCATCCAGATTGCAGAATTTTAAAAAAGATGTTGTAAGACAGCTGTGCCAGTCCCGTTTTAGAGTCTTCTGCCCAGGCTCCTATGACTGGTAATGTTTTCATGGGGAATTTTTCCAGGACACATTCCTAGTAAAGACAGTTTATTAGGACTCTAGTTCTGTACCATGACTTTTGAATAAATCATTTGCTGTAGTGATAAATTATTATGAAAACATCTCTTACATTATTATGAAAATATCCCTACATACTATTGCTATACCTCACATCCAGCATAATAATATACCTTGAAGCCACTTAAGACTGCTGTGCTACTATGTACTTTGCCTGTTTGTTTAAGCTGCCTTTAAGAGGACAAGGGAAGGAGGAAATGATATAATTTCAAAAAATAGAAGAGAGGGAACCATGTAATAATCAACCTTACTTGCCTTGGATTTTCCGTGAACTAATGCATAGTTGTAATATTCCATGTCTCTGACCCAGAGAGCAATGCATTTGGTTACTTGTGTGTTAAATGTCGATATTTGTTGAAAGCAACAAATAAGTTGAAAACAACCTTATAAACAAATCCACCACAAGTGCTGGAAGCAGCAGTTTTATACTGCTTGATAGTTTTTGGTTATTACTGGGGTCAGTTCGAGTCAGTAGTTTCATCCTTTGTAAAACTGTGTTAAAAATTTCTGTAACGCATTCATCCCTTCCCTCATGTGATGCTTTGTGTGTGTGTGTGTTCAATAAATACAGAACAAAAGCCCTTTGCTAGGGGCACACAGACACAGGCACAGATTTGCATGACATCATTCAGACAGGCACAGATTCAGACTCATACAGCAGACAGATTACAAACACGAGGCAATGGAAGACAAAAGGAGAAAGCTGGGCTTGCCCTTGGCAAAAGATTTATTTATGCTAATGCATCATCAATGTATTTTCAGTACTTTGAGGTAATTATTTGTAAACTGTAAGATGTTTATTAGAGACTTAATAGATAGTTGTTGCCTGGGCAAGGACTATACAACATTTATTATACTATAAAAACTTCATAAATATTAACATTTCTCCAATCTCTTAGGAAACTACCTTACACGGAGCAGTTGTATGTTTTAAATCTAAATTTTATTTTAACAAGTTATATAACTTGTGGTTTAAAAAAAATCAGAATACTTTTAACAACCAGATGCAACAACTGACATAAAAAAAAGACACAAGACATGTTAGAGCCAGTACTATTTAGTTTCTTACTTTTTACATTCGTGTTTTAGTATTGAAGGAAGAATGACCAAAGAAATGTCCCCTTCTAAGCCATCTTCCAAAAGGAGCAGTATACAAGTGTTTCTTAGTTTAATAAATATCTTTAATAATAGTAACTGTGAATCTTTAAAAAGTTCTATAATGTACTTTAAAATGTTTCCATACAAAATACTTAATACTTTATAAAAGTTATAATGCTAAATTTGTTCATACAAAAGTTTATTCAAGAGTGTTGTTTAAGTGACACACTGTTTTATGACAGCATCTTATGGCAACGCCTTACTTCTGGATTCATTTGAGTAAGATGAAGTGTTTTCTTAAAATGAGATATAAATTAGTTACTTGATCAGTTTTCAAACATTGTTAAAATATTAAATTTTTATATTCTTAAATTTATAGCATGTACCATGCGTGTCTACATGTGTTTGTGTTTAGGAGTTTGAACACTTGTTTAAAATTTGATTTCTCATCAACACTTTTATTTTATAGTAAGTTCTGGTAATTTTGCTCTCTTCTTAACATTCCCTGAAAATCCTCTCTTGCTAGAAACAACAGATTAAAACCAGACTGGCAGTTGAGGAGCTGTTTCTATTGCAACCATGTGTGTCAGGAAGGAGGATTGAGTTTCCTTGTTCAAGAACTTCAAGGGAACCTCCACCTCGGCAGACACACCTCCACTCCTCAGTAATGGAGAGTTTATACCTAGTTAGATTTAAATGGGATAAGGGAAGAGTTTAAACCCACTCTTAGCTCCAGTATTATAATCAGCCCCCAAGTCTCAAAGTATCCAGTTTTGTTTCTCTAATTTAATTCTAAGTGTCGCGTTGGTATTAGGTGTTGATCAAGGTAATGGAGAGGTGCCCTACACATTTATTCACTTAAAGGAGAATTTTACAGACTGCAAAAATTAGATAGCACTTGTATTCAAAATTTACTTTAGGCATAACTCACTCACCATGACCCTTCATTTTTAGTATGCTTTATTTTTTAAATGTGGAGGAGTAAATTCCACAATGAAGAAAAATTGGTAATTGTGGGAGTACAGCAGCAGCTCTTTGACCATGTCATCTTATGCTGGAACCATTATATAAACAGAAATAAAAGTGATTTGTGGAACCTACCCTTGTGTGAGCTGGCTGCCATGCATGTCAAAGGATGTGTGAAGCCGAAACAGTGACTTGGTGACTGTTCTTTTCCAGCTTTGGCTTCACCTTCGTTCTGTGACTCATTTCATAGATTATCAAACTGATCCATAGACCATACTTGTCACAAACCATTACACAAATAGGAGCAAGAACACGCACACACACACACACACACACACACACACACACACACACACACGTATGTGCACACATACTCCAATTCCATTTCTATACTAGTGCCTTACTAAGAAGACTTAAATCTAGAAAGGTTTTACATGAAGCCACATCCCATGTGAGGCTTTATGGTCAGAACACTGAGTATCTGGTTTTTAGAAATGTGTTGCTGGTCTCTTCATCTATATATTAGAAGATACTCTTTTTCTAGTTATTTTTCCCCCTAGGGGAGGCAGGGGTGTTAGAAACTAACTCATTGTGAAAATCATTAGTAGACTCATTGTGTGCTTTGAAGGGACACTTAGAAGTTTTAAGGAAAACATCACTGTCTCTTATGGACTGTGCAATCCAATAAGATCAAGGAAGAAAGCAAGGAATGCAGATAGCAAGAACTTTAAGGGTTTTTGATTCCTACTCCACAGTATTGGGGGGGAGGCTAATAGAAAGTGGGGTAAGGCAGGGAGGAGGTGGGACATGTCCAAAAGGCAATTTGGATATAGCACTCTTCAGAATGCAGACTCCTGTGGTCGCTAGTGCATAACAACAGGAGGAGAACTAATTACATAGGATTACATGGGATGGGATGCAGGCCCAAGGGTGGCTGTTGATTTTTTTATATTCTCTCTATACCCTTTCTGAGGCTGTAGTTTTAGCTCAAGAGAATGGCTTGAAAGAAGG